AAAAAAATCACTAAAGCCTCAATGGGCTAAGAATCATTCTCTGAAATCAAATATTGTTCTATAGTGCACACATATAGACCAAGGAGTTTTAATATTAAAACTTGTACACAGACTATACATGCAAATACATGTGCCTTGTATACAAAGTATACAAATATCCTGATATAAACTATCCTAGCTAGTGTAAAATTTATCCAAGAGATCTATACTTACAGCACCCACCCTATAAAGAGGGAATCCAATGCTGACCTAAGCTGGTTCTAGATCAGAGAAGGATACACCAATGGCCATGCAGTACACTGCATCCAGAGGACAATAAGCTAACCACCCAAGTATGAAAACTTCTTGCTGGCTGATCAAAAACTATAGTGGCTGTGAAACTGACTGCTCCATCACTCTCCCAGCTGGAGGCAAGTTATAAGTGGTTAATTACACTTTGTTAAGAGTGAGAGAGAAAAGAAGCATGTGTGTAAAATAAAAGTACTCACAACAAAAGCTCTGAGACATTAAGGTAACCAAATCAACCATTCCCAGCCTTGCACTTTGTAAAGTTACTTAACAGAAGCAGCTAACATTGAAATGGTCTTCAGGGGGCTGTCACATTTGCTCATGCTCTATAATTCCAATGTTGTGAGGGTATAAAAATACTCCTCTGGACAATGGGAGGGAGAAGATAAAAGGGGGAACGTAAGCAGAACTCTTTGCTATTCTACTGACAGAAAGATGCGGTTATAATGGTCAGCCATCAGCATGATGCTCTGGGCTAGAAAAATAGAGAAAAGAGTTCAGGCCATTAGGTACAATCTGGAAGTTGAACAGAGTGCCAGTTTTCTACTTACGGTAGGACAAGTCAGTATAAACAGTCTCTCTGTTTTCGCTACAGTTTATAGTGCTTACAAATTTTGGAGCTATTATTGTTAGCTTTGTATCTTCATTACCATCCATTTCATCACTATTACCTGGGCAGCAAGCAATGCATTTTTCAGTTCCTCTCTTGTAACTTCTGGGGCCTCTGGGCCCATCATATTTTGGGATGGCCTAATGTCCTGCTCAGCCGTTTCCTTTAGGTGGGAACTAAGGTAGGCTTTTGAAGCCAGAAGATATCCATTCAGCATGTGCAGAGTAATATCCATCAGAGGAGGACACCTAACAGATGACAAACAAAAGGCAGTTACTGGGTAGAACATGCACACATGCTGGATATAGCTGAGTAAGGAAAGTGTGAAAACCTCTCTGATTGACAAGGCCCTTATAGGCTTTAACTCAAGCTGCTAACCCAAGTTAAACGTCAAGCTGCATGTCTTCACGGCTATTTTAACCCAAGTTAGCTAATCCAAGGTAAGAACACTTTTTTTCCCCCTTTGCGCAGTGAAGACATACCCTTGGTTGCAGGCTGATAATACTACAGCTCTTCCACATGATAAAGAGCAGCATGTTGTCAGCCAGAATTCCCCTTTGGAGGGCTGCCATTCGACTCTGCCTTCCACACACACAAACTAGTATATGAGTAAATTGCAAAAGAAACTGACCTATGGCAGCCTAGGAATGAAAGGGAGCTGAAAAAACACCTTTCATACGTGAGGCAGCCCAAAGTTTGATGGTGGCAATGCCCTACCTGTATAGGCAAACATGGCTAACATCCAGCTCTCAGCAATTCCTCTCCAAGTGCTTGGGCATTAAATCCAAATTTAACTGAAAATTAATGTAGGCCACTATTCTCCCTTCCATTTTTAGAAATGTGGGATCTTTAAATTGCACCTGGATAGCCAGGTAGACAGAAGGACAGGATTTTAAATATCTCACTCAATGGATGAGATTAAAAAATGATGTCAACCCAAGCTTCAATGCCTGCGGAGGAATATTGAAGAGAGCCTGGAGTTAACTGGAAACTACTTACTCCAGTGGAATAATGGATCAATTACTAGGGAAAGAACTAAAGCTGGAAGAAAGGGGAGAAAAACACATACAAACTAGAGAACATGAAGACGAAACAAAGGTAAGTAAATGATATTTATAAATAAGTGAAATGGGAGGATGGGGTGACAAAGAAGAAAGGTAAAGAACAAATTAAAGCTTGAGAGGATTTTCAATATTAGAACATTTTACAGAAGCCATCCATGGAATACCATTCCAAGGTAATACTTTAAGTAAACTCAATGAATAATAATTATTTGTATTACCATAGTGCCCAGTGACCCCAGTCATGCACCAGTACCCTGTTGGGCTAGATGCTGTACAAAGAGATCAAAAAGTCCCTGCCCCAAAGTGCTGACAGCCTCTAAGTATAAGGTAAGAGACAACAGGCAGATGCCGACAGATGGGAGAGTACAAGGAAACAATAAGTCTATTGGTCAGCATGATAGGCGGTGATTTCAGAACACCTGAGTATTATGAAAAGTTAGCTGGAGATCACTTACCTATGAACTCTCTGATCACATCTCAGTACAATCAGAGGGTCAATCATCAGATCATTCTGAGTGTACTTTTGCTGTCGGACTATCTTTACGGAAGGCTGCAACGCGTTAACAGTCATCACCCACAACCTACAAGGACATTTCTTTTTAAATCTAAAAGCTGCTGCTTAAGTAAAACAGAATCACACAGATTAACAGACAACAGTTGAAATAAATGAGTGCCAGCTAATTACACATTCTCAGCCTACAGTTAAAATCCTCAGTTTACTACACTGATTAATCCTTGAATTAATATTTCATAAACAAGACACCTTCTTACAATATGCATTTTTCTGGAAAGTCATCCATCCAAAATGTATTTTCAGAGCAATACAGAGAATCTACTTGTTCTAAAAAGCAAGGTGTCACTAAATATATTTTTCAGCACCCGGGTCCTAAATTTTATATTCAGCCAGCCACCATAAATGGATGCATTCTTAAAGTGTATGTGAAGACAGTTGTAGGTTTCTACCTTTTTTTTTTTTAAATGTGACCTTTGTTCCTTTTTACTTATCTGTGAAGTCTTTTATAACGGTAAGAGGTACTTTTCTTTGGAGAACAGATACAAGTTTAGCTCCTGCAATGTCATTATAAAAAGGACCTGATCTCACAAGGTGCCAAGCTAATTTCTGGGATCAAATCCATAGCCTACCACCATTCAGAGCAGCAGTGTGTCAAAGCATAGGAAATAGGAGGTGGCATTCTACCACTTTACCTGCTGTGTTAAACTGAACAGTAAGCTGAATCTACCTTCTAGGCATCACAGTGTTAAGGACCATCCAAAGCTTATTGACTGTCTGAAGAATTCTCCGTGGGACTCCAGTATTCAGCAGTTGGTTCATATTTGCTGTCAATACCTCTGCATAGGGAATCAGCTCACCAGCAGATAGTAGTGTTAAGTTTTCTAGAATCTGCATCACCTGGGTGTGATTTCCTGGGAGCATGGAAAATGCTACAGAAAAAAAAAAAGCAGTGGGAAATCTGATCATCAAACTAGCCTTCTGCCAATTTCCAAAGCCATGTTTAAAATGAACTATTTATAAACCTCGGTGCTAACAAGCTCGCTGCTGTACACCCAAGTGCAACCTGATGGAGTGGTCAGAAAGAGCAAATAGCTTCCAACCAGTTGGGTGGTGCAAATCACAAACGCAGTTTGTGTAATGAATAGAATTAGAACCCATACTACAGAAATGGCATGGCTTTTGTGCCTCCTCTCAAAGAAAAGAGTGAAATTTTCACTGCAACTAAGGAGCTAGTATTTCTAGAGTTCAGTGAACTCTATGAAGACCCATTGATGTGGTCTAGGACTGTGATTTCAAATAATTTCTATATCATAGGTAGCAATTCCAAATAACTTCTATGCTGCACATAATAGATCTGAACTGTACAGCATAAAACCATATGGGGGGAGCCATCTTCACTATATCCATCATGTTATACTGCAGTGAAGCAAACAGATATATCTTCCAGTCTAGTGACAGTATTTGTAGTGGCACATTTGGGAATCTGATCTAGGGGGTGTTTTTCCTATCTAGCTATTATAATTCTCAATTATCATGCACCTACAAACACAAAATGAAGGGAGGGAAGAAACAGCTACATTGTATATCACATGCACATTATTTTCAATGTTTATGTAGGCCAGAGAATTAAACTATTAGGAAAGAAACCAGGAACCGCCTAGTTCACAGATGAATTTATTATTTACCTTCTTGGAGTTGTTTGGAAGAATGGTTTTTGGCAGTGTTGGTAAGAAGCATCCGTCGCAGCAAGGCATCAGTACCCGTGATTTGCTCCTCACAGATCCAATCGTCCACAATACACAAGTGTGGGTAGTTAGTAGCAAGGAGGCGCAGCAACGCAGAATGCAAGCCTTCAAAAGTTAAAAAGAGATCAGAGTCTCCAATCTAAATCCCAATATATTTTTGGCTGAATAAATTGTGTCCCTATCACCTCAATAACAAAGTTTCATTGAATGAGTTCTTGGAATGTACTAAAGTGCATGTAGTTCACCTCATCTGTATTAGATAAGCTCGTGTATTTACAGCCTCAGATTAGAACTCAAGCATCTACAATACCATCATAATTTCCTTTGTATCTTCTACCTTTCCAAAATGTCTCACACTGCAGCAGGTAGATTGAGGGAGACAGTAAATTAAAAACTCAGTCACTTTTGAATGTTTGACTTATGTCAGGATCCACTGAAACAAATGGAAATTTGTTCCACAAGTTTCAGACAGGCGTACGTTACGGTTATTGTTACATGGTAGCTTTCTCTAAATATGGACCTAAGCTCACTCTAAACTGTTGACAGATTTTAACACAGGTAAAAGCAGAAAGACAGCATAAATTTGAGGACCTAAAGATAGGAGAACTGCAAGTTATACAAGTATTAATAAAAACACACCACAAAGCAGGAGAAAGCTACTTTCTTATAGTTCTGCTCAACAAATACAGGACATCAGAAAACAGAGATTATGCTCAGTTTCCTTTCTCATATGTTAGACACTCAGATATACCTCCCAGTTCCTGCTGTAGTCCTTGTGCCTGCCGGATAAGGTACTTGATTGGAATCTGATCCATCAGTGCTGAAGAGTAAGACTTGGGCTTTTTTTGCATGGCAGCTGTAAGGAAAGACGTTTATAAACTAATTAAGAATTCCCACCACTATTAAAATCTTATGAGTTAGACTAAAAGGCAAAAGCGAATTGAGAGCTCAGGCTGCCAATCTACTTGCTCACATTGCAGTTCATAAGGACAACAGAATCATCCTCTGGTTTTAAGGACTACTGATAAGTGGCACTATTTAAATAGCAATATGGAGATACACGGGGATGAAGTCAGAATGAACTTTTGATCCAGCCACATTTTCCTGCTCTTGAACATGAAATCAGGGCCCTACACAAGCTCTCTTTAAAAATATATATATATATTTAAGTAATAAACTCACTACTTCCTTGCATTTTCATAGCATTTCTCCCCCAGCCCCACATCTTGAATGACCACAAAGTGCTGTGCAATTTGTACATATAGAGTTCATTTGACCCACCAATGAACCACAATCACTTCTGAGGCAGCCATTTTGTGCCAGGATATTACACAACAATTACTGCTAGTAAACTATAAGTTTTGTCAACTGAAGTTGCAATGAGAATGTCAAGAACCAGATTAGAATTATTCAAGATTCAAGTTATTCCTTG